ACTCAATCTTATCTACCTCAGCAATGTGATTCAGTTTAAAAAAACGCTCAACCTTAATGGTCCATCCGTAAGCATCGGATCCATTAAAGAGTGGCAAATCCACTTTTCTCCCAGTTTTCTCAATCAGTCTACTGCGGTTATCAGCATGCTTAGAATGGGTCGATCGCAGATTACCTGCGGTGGAACTGGAGTCGCAGCTACTCTTCCGCGCGCTGGCCTTGGTGGATTTTGATCGACTGCGATTTCGCGCGCTAGTTCTGGAGGAGTTGGATCGACTGCGCGATTCGCGATCGAGCTTCTGCATCACCAGCTCGAACTTGCGGTTCATCTCCTCGTCCCTGAGTCTCGCCTCCTCACGCTGTTCCGCCAGCTCCCGTTCCAACAGTTCAAGTTTGTCTTCCATGTTTCGTCGGGTAACAACCATAGACAGGCCTCACGATCGGAGCTCTGATACCAAATGATAGGAATATGAAAGAGAACTGAGTCTGGCAGTTTAAGAGTTGAATAAATGATAGGAATATGAAGAGAACAGAGTCTGGCAGTTTAAGAGTTGCCTCTCTCCCAGTCCCAGCCCAAGCCAAAGCCAAAAACCAGCCTGACTTTTTATTACAATAATTGGCTATTTATAATAACTCCCCCTCCACCCCCTCGACTTCCACACTTAGTTATTTAATATTCTGTTTTCTCTTTCTGGAATACACCTGACCATAATAGTTAACATTATTATTAACACCAGGCTGTCTTCCCGCATCCCTATCAAAAACTGATTATGATGTGATAGCAGTTCTGTAATGAAGTGGCTTTCTGCTACCACAACTGTGTACTGCAATGAACAAAGTGCATTTTGCATGAGATATGCACTTCTTACAGGAAGCACACCATATATGTATATGTATCTGTATGTACGTACGTATTTGGTAATGATCTCATAGGTTAGACATACAGAATTCTGTCTGGTCCAAGATGGTTCCAACCGTTTGATCACCTATTGGTTGGGATTATTTCTCTCATTGGACTTCCCCATCTATTTTCGAACTCAATCCATAATAGTCACATAAGTTGAACAATATCAGCTAGATCGGTTTGGCAAGGAGATGTAGTCTAAAAAGAGCAATAAAATCCGAGTCTTTACGTGATGCTGGTCAAAATGAATTTTGTCTCAACTGGAATCTGTTGGTTTGATCTGATTTCGATTTGACCATTCACTCCCCTCACTCTAATATGAGAGAGCCATTTTTTCTGTAAAATCATAATATTGTAGATTGCATGAGCTCACTCACTGATTCATTTTCTTCATCTCTTGCATCACAGCCAAACATGGAAGGAGGGCGTAACTGTTATTCTGATGAACACTATTTACCAACCTTCTTCTATGTAAGTGACTATTACAGTTTTTATCCATGTGAACATTTTTTGGAATTACAAGTAGGAGAATACATGGTTGTTGAGAAGACGTATCATTATGTGAAATATTTTTATGGCATTAGTTGATATACATTGGGATTTACTATTATGACTGCTGTTTTTTTGTATTCCAACAAACTATAGATAATCTTGAAGTTTTATTTCTGTTGCATTTTCCAGATGCTTGATTCTTCTGGAATTGCAAATTGGTCAGTTACACATGTTGATTGGTCTGAGAGAAAGTGGCACCCCAAATCATACGCCGCCCGTGATATTACTTACGAGCTCATGAAAAACATTACGGTATGCCTGTTTTTCCTTGACCTTTCCATACCATGAAGTCATGCACATGTAATTTTCATGTTTGCTTCCATGTGTTTGATGCACACTTCATTGTAATTTCGAAGTTGTTTGTGGGTACAACTTTCTTCAAAAGTCTCATAAATAAATAAATAATCTTGTAAGTTTGACACCTCTACCGGGATCCTTCATTTCGCCTACACAACAATTGCATTTATGATCTATAATCGTTATAATATGATTTTAGTGCCATGCAGTGGTTTTCTTTCCTAATTAGAAATGACATTTCTGGCTTTTTGCCATAGGTACACATGACACGTTCTTAACACCTTTCCCTCTCTGTTTTTGCAGTCCATTACTGAGAGTGTACACGTGGGGAGTGATTCAAGGGTATTGTTTTTTTGTTTGTTTTCATAGGAGATATAATTGACGTGTTAGGTTGTTTTCTTTTCTTATTCTTCCTCTTAATTTGTGTTGCAGAAGGAAGTGCAAACCATGCCTTGTTTATGGAATGGAAATCAACGACCCTGTTACCTCTTTGGGAGGAAGTTCCTACCAGAAGCTCTTGATAACTTGATGCAACTTTTCCCAAATTATACCTCTATTTGAATGCGGGATTGATGTATGTAAGAAAAATTCTTTGGTCAATCCAATTTGACCCGTTCTGCATTTCTCATGTATCGCTGCTATTGTAAAGTGCCCCCACGGTATGGAAAGCTTGAGTGGTCAAAACCTAGCAAGCGCTCTACTTGTGGAGGGAGGACCCAGGATACTGGATACATATAATGATTCAACAAGCCCAGGAAAGTTGGTAGTCCTTTGCTGGGGGCATTGGTATTTTGTGTTATTTTTTAACGCCTATATTTTGGGCTATTTATGTCATTAGTATTTGGACAAAATTGTTGAGGAGTCAACTCCCGCCCGTGTATGGTCAAATTTGTGAAGTTCTGTACATTGCCCAGCTATGACATTGAAATCTTCCTTGATGTATTTATTACTCATTTCAAAGAGTTATAAAATCCCATGTAATGTTGCTGAGTATGACAGACTTCAAGCTGGTGTAACATGTTTGCAGACATGCAATTAAATGATCAATTGTTGGGATAAAGTGACACTTGAATGCCAAAGTTTTATATATACCTATAAAACACGGTCTATGCAAACCCAGGCCTTGTTTTTGGCTATTAGTGGAGTGTCGATTCCAGTTTTGGACTTCAGTAGGCATTACTTTATACTTCATCTGTCTTAAATTAAACCCCTAATTGACATTTGACAAATGCCAAGGAAGTGAAAAGTCTAGTTCAAATTTATGAGATAAACTAAATAAGACTCCGTATGAAACTATGAATCACACAATGCTTTCATTTAAAGAAAATAGAAGATTGTTTTGAAACAGGTTAAAGATGTTTTTGATGGGATTGAAAATTTTTAATGTTTAGGTTTAGTATCAATTTTTTTGGTAGATGCATGTTTTGTACTTTACTATTGTCTAATTGATGGTCTTTTTAACTCTGAAGCGAATATGTGTCAATTAAGGGGTGTTTGGAATTGATTCTGCTTCTGCTTCTTTTTTAAAGTAGAATTAGAATCAGTTTTCAGAAGCTGATCACCCTCAACTTCTAAAAAAACTGATTCTAGGAGTAAATTAGAGTACCAGAATCACTTCTGCATTTTCACCCAAACACTCCAGCTTCTGCTTTCCCTCCCTGAAAACACCCCCTGAAGCAGGTTTAAGAATCAGATCCAAACACCCCTAAAAACATGATGTATTCATGAATGGACTAACACATTAGTATTTATTAAAACACGTACTAGCTGTGGCTGTGTAAAATTTAGGCACCTAATTGCTTAATGGTCTTACTGTTGACCCATTTACGTACTTTAAGAGTTTAAGGGATGCCCCTTGAAGTATGCGTCAAGTTAAAAACTTTATACTACGTATTACGGAGCATTAGGATTGCCCCTTGCATTATATGAAGCCATTAAGGGATGCTTTAGACCTTAGGAACGGAATCATCTTCATCTTGGAAGCACACTGCACACCTATGTTAAGAAATTACTCCCTTTACTCCCTTTATCTTGAGTTAAAAGCTGTTGTTCATATTGTCTCATCCATTTGGACAAATTTAAACTACACCTTTAACTTTTTTAATACGCTAAATTATTAGATCAAGTCATTAAACAAGAAATCTCATCGAGAGTCAGATGGAATATGTAAAAGGTTTCTCCACTTATCAAGTTATCATTAGTGTTCTTTCCTATTTGTATAGAGTGTATTTTTATAACATTATTAGCCATTTTATGTCGGGTAAATCACTGAAAAAGTCAAATTTATATCCACGGAGAGAATCCTCTTATCCTTAATGGTCCAGATATAAGGTAGGCAAGAATATTAGGATCTTCATACAGTATTATATATATATAAAGGCTCATTCCTAGGGGTCCCTTAGAACTGGCTGGACAATTTATTAGGAGGGTTAAATTGAGTTACAATTATTGTAACTCATTGTGACGTGCATCTCAAAAATAAGTTCTCACACTCGTTTCGTTCAATTCTTTGATGTCTCTCTACTTACACATTAGGATTATGACCAATGCAAATCAACTTGACGATGTAGTGAACTTAGAGGTTGTTTGTTTTTTGGCGTTTTTTGGCGTTTTCGGCTCTAAAGAATCTCTCACCCTGTAAGGGATCTTTTAGTGCTTCATGTAAAACTTTTAATGCCTTTATCAATAAAAGACTTTTTTTAAGTTAATCACTTAATTGTGTTGCTCTTTTGAATTCAAGGAACTCTAAATCATAGGGAGTCCTTGTTGGTAAAATTAGAGTATTCTTAGGACAGTAACATCCCATTTCAAGCTTCTAACAGGTTCGTGGGCTATTCCGGTCATTAATCCGTAATTATGTAATGGACCAAGTACCTAATTTATTTTTTTTGCAGGTTAGATTTCTCAGTTGCCTGTTAAAAGAGAGCCAGAGAGGTATGTAACAAGAAATATACAAACACTCAAAAGCATGCATTCTAAATATGCACAAACCCATTCTTTTCCAAGATAAACATTAACAAGTCTATAACATAAACATGACAAATTATTGTGATCGAGATTTTTATATAATTAGTATGTTTGTACGTGGGAGAAACTCGTTATGAATTTGATCATTAATATCTTTCATTCCTTATTCGTAAAAAATAAAAAAAATTAGATTTTGAAAATTTAAAATGAAAGGAATTTAACAATATCTTTACAGAATTTAATTTCAATACATTAATAAATATAATGAAATGTAATCAAAGTAGAATTATAAATAGTGTAAAATCACCCATGTGACAACTAAAAAGATCAGAGAACCGAGGTAATCTGATAATGTATTATTTCCATGTCTGAATAGAATATTCAAATTTAAAATATACACTCTAACAATGAAGAGTTTAATTGAGTACAAAATGTTGATCTTGACATATACAAGTATACAACGTCCAATGGGTCAATATTGATGAGACAATGACTTAGAACGATATTGATGATGAGATTTAGCTAGGCTGGTCCAATAACTATGTGTGCTTCTGATCCATTTCCAATGTACCATATATCCAATATCTCAAGCTACAAATAGGTGAAGTGACAACCATCATAACCTGTCCGGGTGGTCAAGATATTAAGAGGTATCAAACCCAAGTTGTAATTTTCAGAAATTATGAAAACATTTATTCAATATTCTAGTATACTTTATAATAGCATTAGTAATAATACCAAGTGTTTTAAAAGGCGGGGTCTAGACGCGATTAGGCGTGAGACGACGGGAAAACACCTCACATAGTAAAAAGACGAAAGTCACATACTAAAGAGTTGATCATTAAAGGCATGAAAATGTGTAAACCTAGACGTGAAAAGACGAAAGTCTTTTAGATGAATTATTTCTTGCAAAAAATGGATTAAATTAAAAAAAACACTTTTATAAACATGTTATATATGAAATCTAATACTGTACGTAGTAAAAAGTAACAATACATCATTTTCTATTTGCACTTTTTGTACATGTAAAATTATACATATTGAACAAAGTAAAAATTAAGCTCAACTTTATACATTATCTTTTGAAAATTTAATTTGTTTCTTCATATATCATCATAAAATAGAAATTATCAATAGAAATTGAAAATGCCTTTTCACTCATAGACTTTGTCTATTCTTGCTTAGGATCTGACTTAAGGTTTGACTTGATTTTTTTCCCAAGGCTCACGCCTTTTAAAACACCGATAATACCGAGTATTAATAATCTACCCTTCCATTATCATCCTATCGGCGAAAATAAATATAATTGTAATATATCCAAGAATAACGATGATAGTAGTATATTTAATACGGAGTAATGTTTACTCTCCGTCCTGTTCTTCACTTCAGCTTTTTACTTATTTTTCAGATATGAATTATTGGGACATGAAATTTAATAATGGGTGAAGATAATTTAATAATTCATTAGAAGATTAAATTTAGCAGTTCATGCATGAGGATAATATTGATCCCTTCGAAAATGAAATTTCATATTATCATAATAAATATTGGCTCTTTCGTATGAATATTCAAGTCAAACATGGCCTGCATTACTTGTACGTGTAGATAAAATCACTTTAAATTTATCATAAAAACTCAACAACAGATAAAAATCACTTTAAAAATCACTTTAAATTTATCACTTTAAAAATCACTTTAAATTCATAAAGATAATAAAATCACTAAAAATTTAATACTTTAAAAATCACTTTAAATTCATAACTAAAACACTCGTCAAAATCATAAGACATTATCCCCTAAAACAAATGACAATTTGCATGTTGTTATGATGTTATCAATGGGTTTGATTTACTTTAAATTTTTTATACACTTTTTATATTGGAAAAATTCAAAATAATAATCCCAACTATTGCCGGTCCGTTGATCATAATCCCAACTATTGATTATTTTTGTATAATTATCCCAACTATAAAGACCGTCCGCCAATGGCCCAATAATGGTCCATGACCAGATATTACCTCCTAAAAGTGAATTTTTAATAGAAATTAAGTGTAAAAATTAAAGGTTAGGATTATTTATAGGGATTACTTGTTATATCTCTCCTCACTCATTTAAAAAACTACACGAATTTATTTATAGGGACCATTATTGGCGGAAGGTCCCTAAAGTTGGGATTATTCTGAAATAATCGATAGTTGGGATTATTATAAGCGGACCGCCAATAGTTGAGATTATTACTATCAATTTTTCCTTTTATATTTTGTTTTAGGGGATATGAAAAATGAAAAAAATACACTAAACTCATTTAACTCAACTAAAATTTAATAGTAACATGAGTATGATTCTCCATACTCATTTCCTATTCAACCATCTAAAGTCTAAACTCATTTCCTATTAAAAAAATCCACATTCATATGATTATTAGGAGCTTAAGTTGATAATGTGACAGTTGCTTATGAGAGCATGTTTGTATAATACTACATATTGATTGCTGGGTAAGATTATTGATTGGAATAATTCAAGATGAATTCATATTATTTCAAGACTATTTTAAAAATATATGCAATATGTTAGTGCATGATCAAGCAAATATGAGATTCTTTCAGAATGTTGGTAGGAAGTTATATAGAATTTTGAGATAAATAAATACTCCCTCCGTCCCGCTATGATTGTCCCATTTTACCTTTTCGGTCCGTCCCACAAAGATTGTCTCATACCTTATTTGATAAAATTTGTGTGGTTTTAAATCATTCCTACTTTATTCTTACTTTATCAATTCAATATCAACCACATAAATTCACTTTTATTAATAAACGTGTCACCTTCTCTTGTCCCAAACTTAGGGGGACAGAGGTAGTACTTAATTATGTGACAATAAAACAACCTATTTTTGGAGATCATTTGAGATGTTCTAATGTTCATGCACTTCATTTTTAGACTGTTTTTAGAAAGTGATGTCGTACCATTAATTTTATTTAAAAAAACGCTCCATAAATAAATGGGAAAGAACTACTTGGAAGGGAGAGAATATTATCTTAAATATCCTACCTATCATCCCATCTACTTTTTTTTTAAAAAAAATATACTATCGTACATATATACAAATTCAATGCATATGTGATAACATGATACGGAATTATTACGGAGTATATGTTTTCAGTACACAATACTAAAGAATTAATAGGAATCGAGTAATTAATCATGAAAGAGTAGCACTTATTTTGGATCCTTATTTTATGCTAAGTTCGTCCAAAAATTAGATATTTGCTTTCTTTAAAATTTTAATACACTTATTAAAAAAGTATTTGATGATTGCAAAAAAAGAACGTTAGATAGGGCCTTTGGATTTTTGCTTTGTTTTAATACATTATTAGTTGATCAAGTATTTGACGCAGGCAAAAAAACTTAGAAGCTAATTGGGTTTTAAAATGAGGTATATTATGCTTAAAATAAGTGTGTCAGTTTTCTTAAAGGGTTTTTTATAAGAATATTACTACAATAAAACTTATTTACATAAATAAATATGACTATTCATTACTATAATGTAGTGTTGTGGTAACTTACGTTCAAAATTTGAACATGAATTACTATGATTTCATTACTACTATAGTAACTAGTCATATTTTTGTAAAACATCTGTATTTTGGTCATATTTATGCAATTATTTCTTTCTTAAATGTCCTACTCCGTATGTTGAGTGTCACAAATGTGTAGTCGAATACTTGTATTTGTTTAGCAATTTCAAAAAAAAAAAAATCAAAGTCGGGAAACGGTTATGTTTGGAAAAATGAGTTGAGGCTATAGTTTATTGTTTGATTTAGAAATTATTATCTCGAATTAGATAGAAAATGGCAAAACTGTAATGTTAGTAAAATTAAAGAGGTTTTTCCTTAAATATAACTAACAAAAAAAATAATGGACAAAAAAGTCATTTAGTAACTTTTAGTGACTATAATTATGTTAAAAATTTACATCATAGTAAATACACCGTAGTAACTTTGAATACAATTATAGTTACTAAACGTTAGTAAGTCACATTTTTGTCCAACACTTTTCTAGGAGTAATATTAGTGTATTTTTTCCAAAATTAAATAGATTTGTTTGGCAATGCAGTTGAAATAAAGATCGATAATGTTAAATTATCATAAAAATAAATGTTTTATTTTAATATAAACAAGAAAAAATTAAATAATGGGAGGGTAAATTTGACATAAGCTTGCGATGAAATAAAAGACTTATTCTCAAGCTTTACAATAGTAAAAAATCAAATCAATTGTTCAATTTTAAATTCCGTTAAGATCAGTTCTTCATCCAAACAGGACAACATGTAATCTAAATTGTCTATATCTATCAAATCCAATTTGAACAAATCACATATACTAGATTTTACAAACTAGAACTATGCTTTCATTTCAAGTTAGAACTTAGAACTATGTTTCTATTTGATATTATTTTGATAGGGTTAAGATGTTTTCATTTCAATTGAAATTTGAAGATCTAAATTAAACTAATCATTTGTTTTTTTCAAGTTTAATCTAATCTAACGTGTTTAGCTTTTGTCTAGTCTGGTACTCTGGTCTCAATTTGTAAAATCTAGTATATGTGATTTGTTCAAATTGGATTTGGACAATATAAACTTGTGTAGTAGTCTTTGATTGAAATCGATCAGTTTAACACAAAACATCAATATTAAAAGTATTTTGAATTCAGCAAATAAAACCTCGAAGCTAATTAGGTAAAAGGTGAAATACCATACTCACTTTCTTTACACAATTCTAAAAAAAAGGATGACACCCCATCCTAGAGGGTTCCTCAGTACCGGCCGGACAGTTAGCCAAGAGGATGTAAGTTGGGCTTTACTCACAAGCTGACAGATAGAGAGTGAGGCTCTAACCCTAGTATTTGCCCTATGCATTTTTAGCATAGTAACTTGTCATCGCAATTGCCGGAATTTGAACCTGAGACTTACCCCTATGGCACCCCTTATCTACCAGTTGAGTTGAGCTGAGCCCACCGGCTTCTTTACACAATTCTCTTTATACTGTAATTGTTTTCTAGAAAGGAAAACGAAGATGAAGAAATACTTACTTGGATCAACAGTAACGAGCATGGCGGTGCTTCCGAATTCACAGGTACCGCCAGCCTGCTTTGTTCTCTGCCAATAGCTATTAAACGCAAACGAAGCGTGTGCGAACAGTGTATCCGGCTGATAACACGACCCTTTCGGCAGAATTTGATCGCAATCCGCCCCAGATGCGCAAGCGTAGTTCATCGCCTCCTCTATTATCGGATCCGGAACTGACGGCTTCGCCACGCACCACAGAGCTGTCGGCGGCGTGGTCGACGGAGCCGGCGGCCCCAACGGCGGCGGGTACACAATTGGCGGCATGAACGGGCTGGGCAAGCGACCTGTTGGCGGCGGGACACTTACGCGTGGGCTGGGCCCATACGATGGTGGACTTAAAATAGGCCGAGTTTGGCCCGGCGCGGAATTAGGTGGGCTAAGAACTGGTTCTACTGGGCTCGGGTTAAAGCTCGGTGGGCTTAAAGCAGGCTGAGTTGGGCTTGGGACGACTTGAGGCGGGCTGAAAACAGGCTGAAATGGACTCGGAACAGATTGAGGTGGACTTTCAACAGGTTGAACTGGACTTGGAACAGATTGAGGTGGGCTTTTAACAGGTTCAGCTGGGCTTGGAACAGTTTGGGGTGGACTTTTAACAGGTTCAATTGGGCTTGGAACAGATTGAGGTGGACTTTTAACAGGTTCAACTGGGCTTGGAACTGATTGAGGTGGACTATTAACAGGTTCAACTGGGCTGGGAACAGATTGAGGTGGACTTCTAACTGGTTCAACTGGGCTCGGGACAGATTGCGGTGGACTCCCTACAGGTTCGATTGGGCTGGGGACAGTTATTGGCGGGCTTAGAGCAGGCTCATTAGGGCTTGGGCCGATTTGAGGCGGGTTGAAATTAGGCGAAGTTGGGCTCGGCGGTGAAGTAGTTGACGGAGGAGGGAGTAGGTAAGGAGAGTACGGAGGTGGAGAATAGGCGCAATAGGCGGAGGCAGGGGAGATTTCCGGCGAGGGATCCGGAGCGAGAGAGTCAAATGGTGGTAAATTCAACGGGGAACTCACACCGTACCATTGAGAATTTGAATAGGAAGAAGAATCGTCCCCCGTCGACAGGTATACATCGAACCGCTTCGTTATCTCTGATTGAATAGAAGATTCACCTGAAGCTTTTCTTACCTCTTTAAGTAAAACAAAAACAAACATATGTCATCAATCAGTATAGGAAATGACAATTATGAATTTATGATGCTAAACATCTTCAGTCAAGAGGAAAACTTCATTCATCACTCATCAGTAAACAGAAGAATCTGGAAATTAGAACTTTATTTTGTAATTTTTTCCGGTAATGAGGTGGTTATATTCCTTTATAAATATGAACTAATTAATTGATACATCATCAAAAAGAATAATGTATTCTTTTACAAATTATTTAAAATTATAGGTTTTGCACTTAGTTTTCCCTATTAAAAAGAATAAGTCTAGTTTTACATTTGGTGTGTACATTCTTAATTAACATGTGTTCATTGAGGAGCAAAAAGTGAGACTACTTCTCATTACCTGATAAACACTTACCAAATATGAATGTACACAATGAATGTAAATTTAGAAAGATTTTATTAGAAATTATGTATTTAAAGTGACAGGTATGATTATATGCATTAAAAACCCGTCCGTTGCAAATAACATGCTGTGTTATATTATCCGCGACACATTCTATAGTATAAGGCAATTAACAATCCCTATACTATATAGCCGGTTGGATACTTGTATTATGTGTTACATGAATCTAACCTAATTTTAGAAGTCTAAAAAGTCCTTAGCCCAATTTAAAATACAGTGTGAATAGTTGTTACAACTATTTTGCTCATTGTTTGTAAAGTTGTGAAAATCTGCAATTTTCTAACCACTATACTCATCTTAGTATAGTATAAAAATTCATTTCAATAATTCACAGACCAATTATTTACTCATTTGTCTTTAGTTTTAAACAAATAACAATCTTAACAGGAACAACTCATACTTGTTCTAGAAATTATTTGTAACATGGTTCTTTGGAAGATAAATTTTGTGGGGAAGTTATAAGATGCGTGTGTGTGGAAGAATGTATGAGTTTTGTATATACTTGGAAATGTATAAATTATAAGATATATAATTTTTTCGTGGGGAAATTATATATATATATTATATATGGAAGATGTTATAAGGTATATATGGCCAGAAGATTACCAGTAAACATAGTTAACTACATAACTTTGTAATTCTTTAATTATTAGTCACTTATAACTTACCACAATGTGAGAGAATGACAAAACTGCCAAGCACAAACAAATGTTGAAGATAAAATGCTATGGATACCGAAGAAGATGATCTGCTTCTAGTTCTTCCCATGCTCACCACCAGAAAGCTAAGAGACAGATGGAGAGAAATGAGAAAGCAGCTAGCCCCAAGGAAGCTAGATAAAATTTCAGTATCTTTTACTCTGAAGATGCCTTACAATTTATTTGCAAGGTGATTAGCCACCCTGGCCACAATTTACTCTCCAAACAACAATTATATGGACCAACTAGCTAAACACATGTATTAGTGTGTTTATTATATACTCGCGTGTCTTTATTATACATATGTATTTATATGTATGTACGTACATACATACATATATTGGTATATGTAGGGAGTAGTCAAGTGTATGCGTAGGCGTCCCAAAGTAAGGCATTTGAGGTGGTCACCTCAGGCCCAAAATTATGGGATCCCTTAAGATAGGTGTTGACAAAAAGTAAGTCTAGTTCTATGCTCTTTACCATTTGTCTTTTTTCAAATATTACCAACATGGTCTTAAAACTATTAAAAATTAGCAAGAGCATATATCTCATATTAGGGATTAAAGTGACATGTTAAATTTAATACATTAGAAATGTTGGAAATGCATTTTGAATAGTAATAATAAAGAATATCGTAATTAACTATTTTAATAGAATTACATGTTTGTGCTTATAAAATATAAGAAAAATAGCATTTAATTTATATAGTACATTTATAGTATTTTATTTGTGCAGAGTTAGGTTGGATTGAGACTAAATTATCAATACTTGAAAAGGTAAGGTCTAAAATGAAAATCTAATTAGTGGTACTAGTGCTCCCTACTTCTACAGTCCTTTTACTGTCTACATTAAATTAATACTCCGTGTATTAGTTTAATGCACTATCCCTATGAAATATAAAAAACAGTTTGTGAACTATTGTAGTTTGAGAAATTAAAAAAAAAATGACGAGGAGAAAATCATTACACTACTTATTGTTAATTGTTATTCTTATTGTTGTTAGTTTTATTATTATTATTGTTGTTGTTTTTGTTGTTGATATGTTTTTATTATACTTCATTATTAAGAAGCAAATATAAAGTGGAAACAGAGGCGCATCAGAGGACACAAAGAAGAGCAAGCAAGACAAGCAAGGTTTTGTGTGCTGTACTGCTGTAGCTACCTGCCTGCGAAATCAATAAAGTTGATTCTTTACCACACTCCTTTGCATATCAGTCTGTGCTTTTGTACATTTGCTTCTTTACATTTAATGTGTAACATAAGAAACATTTAAAAGATGTTCCTTTTTATGTGTAAAGATGAAGAAACTTGACTCTTCGTATCATTTACACATATATTCCCTTCCCTTCGTATATGTACAATATAACATGATTCTTGATTCATATAGTCTTTCACAACAAAAAGTGCGACTAAAATGTCTCTAGGTATAGAAGTTCATTCGTGAGATTTTACTTGTTATATATGTACAGTTCAGGATTTTAGGCGTTCAACGCTCAAGACTACTCTCGTTCAGGATCTTATGGTCAAGTGTAATTTTTTAACCATTTGTGTCAGATAATTTGAGACAAAAACACTGCCAATTTCACCTTTGGTTTATTAGCCTGCTCATTTGTGTTATGTGTATGTTTAAATGAGAAAAAGATATTCTGATATCAATAAGAATGAATATGATACAATGCATTTGAGATCTAAACACGCTAAAGGACTAATACAACAACATTCAAGCCTTAATCTCAATATTTTTGGGTGTGTTTAAATGAATTGATACATGTGAATATGGGATCACGGTCAAAAAAGAAAGATAAGAAATATATTAAGATAAGATACGGCGAAAAGGGTAAGGTACAATAGAATGGCAAGATAAAAGGCGTAAAAAGAATATATATATATATATATATATATGGGACATAGACTACTTTTGCATCAGTTGGATACTTGGATGAGATGTGTGATTCTTTTAACTAGTACCACACGTCCACACCATATAAATTGTTTTTATGTTTCTTGAACCATATATCTATTTTTGTCAAAAAAAAAACCTAATGTTCATATCATCTATGGCGGTATCGATGATCCGCCTTCATCCTAAACCACCACGGGCTGAACGGGTTTTTTGGATTTGAAAGTTGCGTTTCAAGATGGAGTTTGGCTAGCTGCAACTTTTTATTTTAATCTCGCATCAATTATTATATCGTCTCAGTTAGACAATTGCTCTAACTTTTTGTTTGTATCTGTTCTTGACAATCTAGAAATTTTAGTTTTATCAAGATTAGAAATATAGAGGCTTCTAGGCCAAATAAATCTACTCGATTACTCAAGGGTGTTTTTTATGTAATCAAATAGTGAAATGACCTTATTTGAATCCTTTTAAATCACTCAAAATTTTGGATCATATCTACTTGGTATAATAGATTGATTTAGTCATGGACCCGGTCTGGTTTGATTCTTTCAAAATTTTGGCCTGATTCTTATTCGACCGGATTATTGATTACACGGGTCTCTCAAACAAATTGCTTACACTACTATACTTATAGACTAATCCAAAAAACTTGTTGGGTACTTGGGTTGTGTGTGCACCCCACCCAAACCCACTAGAATCCGACAGGCACTTATTTGGAGAAAATAAGTTCCAAATTTGTTGAAAACCGAGAAAATATCTCATGTTCAGAAACTTTTAGAATATCATTCGTAGTAAGGGCTTTTGAGAAATAGAAAGAAACAAATAAGCTTCAATCCGGGACCGGCCCGGTTCTCGAGTCCGGGTCCGGGTCGGGCCTAGGCCCGGGGGCGGGTCCGGGCTCGGGTCTTACATTTGGCGAACCGGCCAGGTCGGGCCCAGGTCCGGGCCAAATTGATTTTTTTTTTTCATTTTTTTGGGTTCCACCCGGGTTGGGCTTGATGGTTAGGAGGGGTTTGGGGGGTGGGAGGGTTAGGAAAGCAAAAAAAAATAAACCGGAGGCCTGGCCCGGACCCGGATCGAAGCCGGTGGCTACCTGGGCCGGTCCCGGGTCCACCAATTCTGAAACACCGGCCCGCCCGGGCTAGGCCCGACCCGGACCTGGCCCGTCCCGAATCCACCCCTATTCACTATGCTATCCAATAATAACTCCTCTGAACCTGACAATTCAAATCTTTCTAACTAAACTCTTCTCCCCACCTCTTGGCAGTTATTATTAGAACAATGCATCAACAGACCACATCCTTCAAGTAGGGCGAGCCCAGTTCAGATCCGGTTCCTCAAAATTAGGACCGAACTGGAAGGGTTCTGATTCTAATGCAAGGCAATTTTATTCACGCAGATAGGACTTAAACATTTGAAATTTTGAATGTTCTATTCTGGATTAAAAACAATAGGTCAGTGTCCAATATAGCAATAGGAAGTTAGGAATGAAGGATAGTGTACAAATGTTCACAGATTACAAAGAAGGTGCATAATACTTCTCAATCATACACAGGTGGAAGATACATCTTAACATACAAGCCATTCCCAGTCTAAAGGTAGTAAAAAAAACTAGGAACCAACCAGGGCAACTCCTAGAGGGGGAGCACAATGAAATTCGCACACAAATCATTTGTTGGGAAGAACATAAGAGCCTCTCCATCCTCTCAGGCTAAGCCATCTTTACATCATTTATAAAACTGTATTTTACGCCTTGACAAAGTAACTCCAGCTTATTCTCACAGATCCAAAGAATACAACATAGTATATCGTGAAGTGGAATAACATAGACAAACTACCGGAGTTTAGCAGCGTGACAACCCAGTGCTACAACAGGGATCCTGACAATGTGCCCTCTGCTTCCTTTCAGTGTAACCTCTCCGAAACTGTATCGTCCAGTGATTGAGCGGGGAGTCAGAGTCACTGTAAATTTGCGTGTTGCACCATGCCTTAATGTCATTGCAGGAGGGTTTGTTTCAATGGCGACATCCGGTGCCATCCTTGCAGTAATGACATATGTTTCTTCTTCAGCAACATTTGTCACTGAACGTGACACAGTTCGCGTCCCAACAAGATTAGATGTTGTGATTGAGGGCATATTGAGATTTGATGGGTGGCCAAGAGTGTAGTTGCACGCAGAGTGTGTGAAATTCTTTATCTCGAGAGGATCAATTCCTGGGACTGTGCACAAGAATCCCAAATAATCTTCATAGCCTACAATTCAATTGACAGATCATCAGTTAATAAGCGCAACAAAGATAACTGTCAATCAAGATTTTTAAGTGGAAGTGCACTATTTAATCAAAGCTTCAGATTTTCTTCCAGTTGACTTTCAGGCTTATTAACAAAGTAATTGTATGGTTCTGGTATATCTAAAAAACAAATATACTAACCACGCAAATTATTCCTTCAAAGGAAATGGGAAGAATATTTTGGGACATCCCGGAAAGGGTAATGGGAAGAAAATTATGAGACAGGTAGAGTAATAAAACTCCAATAGGATTACTATCACAGTTTTGATAATTCGCCTTATATCCTGCTGTGGTATAAAGGGATTCCAAATAAATATGCTTACAGCCTTACAGAATACAGATTCATGTCAAACCCCAATATTGAAATGGTGCCACGGACTCAACTACTCATCTATGTCTCTTTTTTTGCATTCAAAGTACCATCACATTTTGTGTCACAGTCATTAAGGTTTGTCACACAGAGATGGAGGAGGAAATGAATTGAAGAGCAACAAAAAGACATACACTAGGAAATATTTAACTGTCATTAAATATTGGTTCCATGAAGCAGATCTAATGAGGTTGAGTGTGTTCTGCAATTTAAATCTTAAATTCCAACTGTTTACAACTTATTTAGCATGTATTGAAAGAAGAACAGCTTAAAATCTGTTAGCGTGTATTGATAGAAGGGCTGTTCTGGGATACCTGCATCAAAGACAAGACCAGGATCAAGGGCTGCTCTAGGATTGACATGGCCACTACCATAATCAAAAGGTGTTGCATGAACCAGTGTCATGGTTTCAGAAGCAGAATACTCTTGTGCTT